AGTGCATTTTCTGACGAAGGGGCTTCAGCTCGGCTTTAAGTTTGGTGACGGTCCCCTCCAGCTCGTCAACCTTCTTTTGGGCCGCCTCTAGCTGAGCCCGAACAGCGGCGGTCGCCTGCGCCTGATAATAAAGAAGATCAATGGTCAGTACTTCATTTTGGGCAATTTGAAACATTGCTTTATCACAGCTGGAGGCGGCCATAGCCTTTGCGGCCTTTACCTCTTTGTTTTTCCGATCAATCGGCTTGCGAAGGCTGTTGACTCGGAGCAGGGCCTAAGTACAAAGAAAAACAGGCGTCAGTTTCCAATCAAAAGGGTTAACAGGCGTCCTGGAACTTCAAAAGGGTATACCTCAGCTAGGATCCCCGAAATTCCATCGAGGTCAAGGGTGCCGGCACCCTTGACCGCCTCCCTGTCCGAGGGAGGAACTACTTTAACCATTGACTTGGCTACCTCAACCAAGTCAAGTCCCTGGGGGCCGGCTGCATTAAGCAGAAGGAAAAACAAGTTAGACCTAATCAAGAAGGAAGCAAGAGTGAGTTTTTACAAGCAAGGGTCCATACATCTAGGCGGCCCCGCTTGGGTTTTTGAAGAAGTGGCCGGCTGCTTCTCAGCCGCCACTGTTTTCCTGGAAGACCCAGGAGAGCTTGCAACAGTCGTTCTCCGGGCCTTGGGGTCCGGCTGTTGCGAGGAAGAAGCCCTTGGAGTGCCAGACTGAAAACAAAAAGAGTTAGTATATGCATAATACAACTTAAAGGGGAAGAGTTTTCAAAGCTTACCAAGGGTGCCTCCTTGCTGGGGGAGTCGGCGTACGACTGCTTCATTAGCGAAACCCGCAGCATAGCCGCCGCAGTCTTAGATGCTGTTATTTTACTCATGGCGTCGGCTGAAAGAAATAAACAGCAAAGTTAGTAAAAATCCCAAGTAGACAAGGCGCGAAAAAACAGAGTATTCGTCAGGCCGGCTACCTCTAGAGCACCGACTGCCGAGGCCACAGGCGGCCAAGAAGTACTCATCATAGAGCCACTTGAAGCTCGGGACGCAGTGTAGGGGTACTTGCTCTCGTACCCCTGAAGTAGAGTTCACCCTAGTCTCTACTTTGAAGAGTCCTTTGTCTAGGATCTCTCTTTTAGCCTTTGGGGGAACAGGCGGCATGCTGCGGCCGCCTGCAAGAAGAGGCGGATCCCTGTTCCACTTGTTAAATCGTTTGTTCAGCTCCGTGTCTGAACTCTCGATAATAAGGAAGGTGTTCCGCCAATCCTTCCATTTGTTTGCCTTACCTCTCGTCATGAGGTAACCCCTGTGGCTTGTTAGTTGATACCAGCCGGTACCTCCCGACTTAGGGGTCCGGCTGAGATAGTTCATGTGGGCGAAAGCCTCAAAACTTGGCTCCACCCCGTTCAGTTCGCACCCGGCCACATAGCCGAGTACGTTTACCCAAGAGTTGGGGGCTAACTGCCATAACCCCAGATCATACCCATCTAAAATCCGCTGAACAGCCGGATGTAATGGGAAGCGCAGACCAGCTTTGATGGCCGCCACATAGCAGCCAAAACAGCCGTCACCATAGCTGGTACCAGCCGGCCAGACGACAGTATCTTCTGGATCCGGCACAAACAGTAAATACTCCGGGCTCATTTTGTGGTTAGCAATAAAGCTCGCCACGTTGTCTCGCATGGTTGCGATCCGGCCCCGGGGCACCCTGCAGTAGTAGGGGGTGTTTTCCTCTCTGTAAGAGACGGACGGCTCTGCCCAATTATCCCCCTTCTCCACTGCATGGGAACTTCTCGCCTCTTGTAGGCGGTTATGTTTTTCTTCTGAGTCAGAAGAACTATGGTCAGAAGAGCTGGAATCGGACTCGTCCCCTGACGAGTCCGAAGAGGACGACTCCTCCCCTCTCCTAGAGGGGCCCGCCTCCTCTCCCTTAGAAGGAGCAGAAGGTAAATTAGACATGTCCACGGTTAGATGAGAAGGGAACACCTTGGTCCCTCTCTCAGAACTGTCAGCTTGACAGTCGCCTCGTTCCACATCTGGCGCCTGGTCAGATGTTTCGCTAAGGAGTACCCTTTGGGAGGAGCCGTCTGAGTTTGATATTCTAGCAGTCTTTTTTGTTCTGGCCATCACGTTCTGCATAGACACAGATTCAGTCGGACTTTGTATAAAGGGCAAAGATGGGTCCAGAAAAGGGCAGGCGGCACTCCTAGTCCTAGATTCAGCCGTCCCCGGTGACCGGCTGATCACTAACTTAGGGCGTGTCGTGTGCTTCCATGGTGCCATTTCAAAAAATAAAAAGAAAATTAAGAGTAAGAGAACTGAGTTACCTGAATGGATGACAGTTGATGAAGTCCTGAAAGTTCGGGTCAGTCGGCTTGTCAGAACAGGCGGTAGGCAGAAAAAGTCCGAAAATGTCAGAGCAAGTTCAGGGGTCCGAATGTTCTCGCAAAAATTCTCAAATGTGAAAATGACCGAAGTCAGCACTTCCTTTTATAGGCAAAATGAGAAGGCGAAGGGTCGCTTCCGAATTCAAATTTGGGCGGGAGAGTCTCCCGGCCGTCTGCAAGGTGACACCTGTAACGGGCCGTCGCCTGTCACCGTGCGACGCCTGTCACAGGCGACACGTGACCAGTCGCGTGCCACCTGTGAGGGGCAAATGATTAGGGGATTTTTATCCACCAAGCGCCGTTTGACAAGTGGACCAACCAGGTTCCGCCACGCGTCCTCCACGGACCACTTAAGACACGCCACGTGTCCACCCATGCCAAATGGGACAACCGGCCATCAAGGCCCATTTCAGTCTAGAAGCCCGATCGGCCCTAGGTTTACCTTAAACCTAGAGAGTTGCACGCTTCCCAAGGCTATAAATACTCGATTAATCCTCATTAATCGAGGGACCGAATAATTTACGGAACACATTAATAACCGGCTGATCTCGCTAGCAAAGCAGATTACCTACATTAAATACTCTCACCTAGAGAGACCTTATTACTTTAATTTCTGTATTAATTACTCCTTAATCAGGTACTAACTTGACCGTTGGAGGCGGAGCTCTCAGGAGTCTCCGTTATTTTGCAGGTACAGGCGTCCGGTTCCAGTCTCGGAATTGTAACTCTCCCGCAGGACATCAGAAAACCCCGAAACAATTATGACTTTTGGATTTGATGTGTTTCAACTTATTTTAACTGATTTTATATGTAATAAATATTGATAAATTCAAATAAATAAAAAACAAGTTCTAGTTAGTTTAAACAAAATAACTCGTCTACAGTGACCATAAGGTATAATACACTTAATTTAACTGATTTTTTTAATTATTATATATATATATATATATATATATATATATATATATATTACAATAAGCTTGAATTGTACTTCGTATTTTCGAATTTTATATATATCATTTGTCCTCTATATTGATATTGTTTTCACACCAAAAAAGTTGTTAAGGAGTACATTAATTTTCCATTACAATAGTATATGTAATTATATTTGGACTATGACATAGTTATAGCTTATAGGATACACCATATTTTGGCTCCTATTAATATGCATGTGAAGTGTCATTATGTCACTATCCATCTACTTTATCATATGTAGTTGTACAATTGCATAAATTATATGCCTCCCATGAAGTCTTTTTAAGTTGCACTTTTATTGTCATGCTTAAAAAGAGCAACCTTCTAAGTTCTAAACAGACTTCGTCTAACAGAACTGAAGTAGTGCTACCTTTTAAGATTTGCAAGATGACTTTTATCACTTTCATAAAACTAACGATTGTTGACTATCTTTGAGGCGGTCCCCCAACTCTATGCATCTTCTTGCTATTTTATTGGAGGATTTCAGAATAGTAATTATACCGAAGAAGGTTTAATTTTGGCTTTATTAGCTTAGTCTTGCTCGTGTTCTAGTCTTATTTAGGTTTCTTATGTTTCGCTTTTATTTCTTCCGCAATTCCTAGCTTGTTAGTGTTTCCCTTTCGTTTTTAGTGGCTTTAATTTGCCCCCCTCTCTAAAAGTATGCTTTCACAACTTCACCAAAAGTATAAAAAATAGAGTAACAAAAGGGAACAAAATTATAGGGGTAACATATGTCAATTAGTTAATATATTGAGGGTTGATACCCAAGACGTAAGGAAAATTTGTCAATTGCAGCAATTTAAAATTTGTATTTTGCAAATTGTAGTCATTTAAAAAAAAAATTGCAAATTGCAGTCCAAAAGTATTAGTATTTTTGGGCTGCACTTTGCAATTTTTTATACGCAAAACGAGGCACTTACGTTATTTTTTTTTGTCAATTTCAAGCTCAATTTATTGGTACTTTTGGGCTGCAATTTACAATTATTTTTAAATAGCTGCAATTGGCAAATTTTCCAAGACATAAGATTTAAATTTCGTCTCTACAACCAAAAAAATCATTTACTACCTCCGTTTCTTTTTATATGCAACATTCACTATAAAAGGAAGCTGCCATAAAATGCAACAACTGTTATTTTTCTTTATTAAGGTGACATTTGTCTTATTTCTTTTCTCATCGCTTCATTTAATATTTATCAACAAATTTTACCTAAAACACCGTAAAAACTCATGTTTGCAAATAAAAAGAAACTGAGGTCATAAAGTTTTGACTAATGTGTGGATGAGATGAAATTCTCATACATATGAATGATGTCGTAATTATTAATTACTACTCCACTGTTCTAGCGTCAAATTTATCTGCCTGCTGACGTGGCTATGCTAACTTGCTTCTTAGCCATACTAGGTCAACGAGATCACACCTTTATATAGAAAGTCAACTATATGCACAGTACTCATTCATTATATTATTATTCTCATTAATCAGTGAAGATTTATCTTTAATTTTCTTCTGATGATAGTTAATGTACAGGTCACATTTTGAATCTAGATCATATAATATCCACATTCATTTTATTCATAACACTTGCGTAACAGCCTTATATATACTTGTCACAATACATCTATAATATTTCATGAAACAAACAACAATCTAATTAATTTCATCTCTTTTTTTCTCATACCCTTTTTAGCTAAGCTAATAATTTGAGGGACGACTAAAAGAGAGGGTTCCAATCACCAACTATGAGTCGCATTGGTGACGAAAACATTGTTACTAGTGCAGCTTCATCTCGCCGTCGACCCGAGTCGTTGCCACAACTCCATAGCGTTGGAAGGCCTGTAAAACAGACTATATGGCAAGAACTTGGTCATACCTTCAAGGAGACTTTTTTTCCTGATGATCCTTTGAAGAGTTTTAAGGATCAACCGCCTTCGAAAAAATTCGTCCTTGGTTTACGCGCTGTTTTCCCCATTTTCGACTGGGGAAGACAGTATACCCTTGGCAAATTTAAAAGTGACGTTATTGCTGGAATTACCATCGCAAGTCTTTGCATACCACAGGTAACAATAATTTCTATTGTAACGTCTATTTTTAGTACTAACATTCTATGATGCACGGTTGCACCTCCGTTTCTGACATTTCAGAGACACGTGGTAGATAAAAGGGAGTGCACTCCTTTTGTACCAATTTTGATAAAACTGAAATTTATAATACAATTTAAATTAAATTGAATTCGATATATTCACTTAATTTTTACTCACCATAACTTTTTACTTTACTAGGGTGTGCGCGTCATAAATAGCCAAATTTGGAGAACCTTTTCAAATATTGACAACATTAATGATGAAAAATGTAAACTATTATTTTTAGGGTATAATTGTCTACATATTATACTTAAGAGTTCTAAAAACAAAAGACAATTAACATCAATAAGTTTATATAGGTGAACAGAGGATATTGTGTATAAATTTGAGACCCTTACAACCACTAACCCTAGGTGATTGCTACAAAAAATAAAATTGGCCTTGCTATATTGCATTGTGTTATGTACAAATGTTTAACTAATTTTTTTTTTATTTTTTTTATTTTTTTTATTCTAACAGGACATTGCCTATGCAAAGCTTGCTTATCTCAAACCCGAATATGGATTATGTGAGTCTGCTTCCTACTATTTCACACTTGTAGATCAATCAAATAAGAAAACGATGCAATTATTATGACATTTGAACCTTACATATATGCATATATTTTTGTTACACTTGCAGATAGTAGCTTTGTACCACCTCTTATATATGCTTTCATGGGAAGCTCAAGAGATATAGCTATCGGTCCAGTGGCGGTCGTCTCGCTCCTACTCGGAACTCTACTTAGTCCTGTGATTGATCCTGAAACTAATCCAGTTGAATATACTCGACTTGCATTAACAGCTACGTTTTTTGCTGGTGTCACTCAAGCCGCACTTGGTTTCTTCAGGTATGTATGTCACTAAATCATCTGTTTGCCCATTTGTTCTTGTAGGGCTAATTTTACGCTCATTTAGGGTTATTGAAATGAACACAGAAATAATCTTGGTGCAATTAGTTACCTTTTGGTGCAAAATACAAGTAGATTTCTTTATTGAAATATATGTCTTCTTTGTGCATCATTAGTGTTGCAGTAGTTTAATTAGATTATATTTAATGTTTATCATTAACAATTCTATTGAAACTCTCCTACTCCCTGATTAAACAAAATGAAAACTACTGTAACGTACAAGAACATCTCTTCTATTTCCTTAATTTAAAAAATTCTCTTGACCTCCTTTGTTACAGCTTAAGCTTAACTTTGACATGACTAACTTTTGTTTAAGATTAGTGAATAAAATATTTTATTTGTGGCATAATATAAATATTCTATTTTATAAACGTCATACAACCTGTATGTGCAACTACAATCTTTAATTTTTTTTTTAATAATACAATCTTCATTTTTTAATAGTTCTACTTTGACTTTTTACATTATATATTCACATGTCGTACTTTTACCTTTTTTACTATCATAACTCCGTTAAAAAAATAGGTATTTTATAATAAAATCCTTTTGAATCTTTATGTTGTTTGAAATGAATAACATAAAGATTCAAAAGCAAGCACATATTTGAGGAAAAGGCCTTAAAAAGTGCAATTTTATTATTTTAGCTTAAGTTGATTGATGATTTAGATTAATTTTGGTCAAGGTGTATGATCTAATGAACATTTTTGCCTTTGATTGTTAGGTTGGGCTTCTTAGTTGACTTCCTCTCCCATGCCGCGACTGTTGGATTTATGGCTGGTGCAGCCATTACTATTGGTCTTCAGCAGCTCAAAGGCTTGCTTGGCATAAAGAAGTTTACAAAGGAGACTGATATAATCTCAGTTTTGGAATCGGTTTTCAGCCAAGCGCAGCATGGAGTAAGTATTATTCTTCACTACCTTTTCCAATGCCAAACATTTTACATACTTCGTATATGTAATATGTTACTGGCCTTACTGTCTCTCGCTTGCTGATTGTTGGTTTAAAATGATCTCTTGGTTCGATTACTGATGCCGGGTTTTGTTTATATTTTGACAGTGGAATTGGCAGACAATAGCTATAGGTGTATCATTCTTGATTTTCCTCTTGGTCGCCAAGTATATTGTAAGAATGGTTCTGAAGTAATCAAATTATGTTTTTAGGCAATGTCAGAAATTTGGTTGTAAACTCGAATTGTATTTATCTTTTACAGGGAAAGAAAAACAAGAAACTGTTTTGGGTTCCTGCAATGGCTCCCCTCACCTGTGTTATCCTGTCGACTCTGATCGTGTTTGTTACTCGTGCTGATAAGCATGGTGTTCAAATTGTAAGTACTAAGAAGATTATCATCATGTTACTCTGAAATCCCATTTTTTTTTGTGCAAGTAATGACCTGCGTTAACTTAATGTTGTTTATAGGTGAAACACATAAAGAAGGGAATCAACCCGCCTTCTGCGGACCAAATCTTTTTCACTGGACCTTACCTATTGAAAGGAATCAAAATTGGTGCCATTGCTGGTATAATTGCACTTACGGTAAGAAAATTGTATGATACCTCTTATATACCTCAATTTAAATTCAAACTCAACGAAAACTTAAATCGTGTTGTTAACTTGATGTTGCAGGAAGCAGTAGCAATTGGCAGAACATTTGCAGCTATCAAAGATTACTCTATTGATGGAAACAAAGAAATGCTTGCCTTAGGAAGCATGAACATTGTTGGCTCAATGACATCTTGTTATGTAGCTACTGGTAAAAATTATTGCTTTCGGATCTCAGTATTACTCCCTCCGTCCCATATTTTAGTTTAAAATCAACATTGTAATCTCTATGACCATTACAAATGGGTAGTAAAATGTGGGAAATAGGGAGTAAAACATTAGTACAACGAACCTAAAGAGTGTTAATAGTATACGGTTTTGGTGTGTTTTGCAGGTTCATTCTCTCGCTCTGCAGTGAACTTCATGGCTGGTTGCCAAACAGCAGTCTCCAATATAGTCATGTCAATGATTGTATTCTTGACTTTGATGGTCATCACACCTCTGTTTAAGTTCATTCCAAATGCAATTCTCGCTGCCATTATTATATCCGCAGTGATTAACCTTGTTGATATTGGAGCTGTAATTCTCTTATGGAAGATTGATAAGTTCGACTTCATTGCTTGTATGGGAGCATTCTTCGGAGTCATCTTTATATCTGTTGAGATTGGCATCTTGATCGCGGTATAGTAACAACCACACAATTCTGCACTTCCAAGTTTATTTCATTCTGATGTTGCTGTTAATAATTTTCTCTTGCCTTGACCATTTTTTTGTTGCATGATTTATCAGGTTTGCATTTCCTTTGCCAAGATTCTGTTGCAAGTAACAAGGCCAAGGGTAGCATTACTTGGAAATCTTCCTGGAACTACACTTTACAGGAATATTCAGCAGTACCCAGCTGCTTCAACCATCCCCGGTGCTCTGATTGTGAGAGTCGACTCTTCAATCTATTTTTCAAACTCAAATTACGTCAAGGACAGGTACTTATTTGTCTCATCATATTCCATTAGTCATATTTATAAACAATTTTGATACTTCAAATGATTTCAAGTAAAAATTTCATGGAAGAAATTCCGTGAGTTGAATTATGCATTGAACAAGCTAAGCTATTCTCTTTCAGGACTCTGAGATGGCTAGCTGATGAAGAAGAGCTGAACAGAGAAAGTAACCTTCCCAAAATTCAACATCTGATTATTGACATGTCTCGTAAGTCATCTCTCAAATGTTTGGATCTTTCTTTCCTTATGACTGCTTACATGCACGAGAGTAAACCAAGCATCTTCTAAATCGTCGTTTTTTTATTCCCTTTTCTTGCAGCTGTGATCGATATTGACACCAGCGGCATCCATGCTCTAGAAGACTTGAACAAGAGTATTCAAAAGAGAGAAATACAGGTAAGAACCATGCTCTACATTGTTCAAGTACTTTTTTTTTTTTTTTTTTTTTTTTGTGAAGGGAAAGATAAAATATCATTAATTAAAAGTCATACGGCATCTACATTAAGCATTATAGAAAAGTAAAATAGAATCTAAATTAATCAAGTAAAAATCCTCTTTAAAGAAACTATGATGATGAGAATCTAGATCTGACGATGAAGCACAATCCCCGATTGTTCGCTAAATTATGCAGCCTTTTGTGAGGGAGTCCATCATCTTGACATAGTTTTGGGAAGAAAATTCATTACTTAACAATGTCGATCGCATCCTCAATTCCAACGCCGATTACAAAATTGTACGAATAACAACCCATGAATCCAATCTTTCAGATAAAACCCTAAAAATAAATTTCAATCTTCCATAAGGGAAGAGAAGAAAGACAAACACCAAACTCTCACAAAAGGAGAGAACAAACTTAAAAATTGGGATGAAAACCCTCATAAAGAGAGAGTAAGGAGAATTATTAATGACTAAAAAACAAAAAACAAAGGAAAAATAAAGAAAGAAATGGGGCTTACCATCATCAAAGAGATGATGATGGTAGCCCCTTGCAGCTGCCAAAGATTTTAGGGTTTTTTTTTAGAGAGGGAGAGAGGAAGAGGCCAAAGAGTTTTTAGGTAGGCTTTCTTTTACATTGTTCAAGTACTTGTAGGAGTCTCTTGTGAACTAAAAGTATCATAGAAATCCTAACATTTTCTCTGTTTTTTTTTTCAACAGCTTCATTTAGCAAATCCAGGGTGTGTTGTTATGACAAAACTCTATGATTCCGGATTTGTAGATGTTGTTGGACAAGACAATATTCATCTGACAGTTGGAGATGCTGTTCGAGCATGCAATCGAAAGATACAAGAAGAAACAGCTTGACTTTACTCATCAATCTCGCGAGTGTACTTTGAGCTTTAACCATGATTCCCCTGGAAAATTAGTGCGGTTTCTTGTGCTAAAGCTTGATGTTTTTGTTATACAATATATTAACTTCAAACTATCCATGTATAAATGTACTCTTCTCTTGGTAAGATAACATTAGGTGCAAGCTGACGCCGGTTGTCTTCTGATATGTGATTATCTTCTATACATTTTTTAATGGAGCTTCGTTTTTTGATGTTCGGCTTTAGATCCTCCCATTCTACTGAATCGTTCGAGATTGAGAGTCATTGAGAGGTTTCTTCTAATACAGATCTATACAATGTACAATTTGAAGTGTTACAAAGAATTGATCAGCGTGATCACTGTAAGAATTTATCATTGAAGTGTGTGTTTGTGAATCAACCTTTAATATTTTATGAAGAATGAAATTTCTAATCATTGAAGTTTGGAGTGAAATTGACTATCCATTAGAGCATAACTTGAAGAGTAATTATGGGTTATCAATCTCGTTAATTTGATCAACACAAATTCCAAATCATAGTAAATGTGCTTTTTTCAATTCTTCTCCAAACTTTGCAAGTTGGATCTGATGAAAGGAAGCTGCTTGCCTATTTCCTATTTTTGTCCTGTTATGACATTGTGTACCAGCCTATTATTAGAATGATTGACTGTCCTTTTTTATTGTTCTTTTGTCCTTAGTATTTTCCTGTTGGTTGAGTCTTGTATATATAATGAAGAATGTAAAGAGCAGAACTTTGAATCAATGAGAATCAGTGCTTCCCTTTCTCTCTAAAATTATCTCTCTATGACTTTGGTCATCATGGTATCAGAGCCAGGTTGCATTTCAATCAGGCATTGAGAGCTATTTTTATGAAAGAGTAAAGAAAGCCTTTGCTATATTCGAAGACCAGCTTCACAAATTTTCACTTGAAATTTCCCCCAAATTGATTTTGACCTAATTTATTGAATCTTCTTCCCTGATATCCAAAAATGGCCGGAGAGGGTGTAATCACCACTCCTTTGGACTTCACAAATCCACTCTATCTTCATCCTTCCAATGGTACTCACACCATTGCAGTTTCCAAACTCACTGGATCTAGCAATTATCAAACTTGGCAAAGATCGATGGAAATTGCTCTGTCCTCAAAATGCAAGCTTGGATTTGTGACTAGGACGGTGCAGCATCCAGCAGAGGACCCAGTGAAGGCGGAACTGTGGGATATCTGTAATGCCACCGTTATAGGGTGGATTCATGCTTCGGTGTCGGATTCAATCAAAAGCTCGATACTCTTCCTAAGTACATCAAGAATGATTTGGTCGCACCTTAAGAAGCAATTTTCGCTCACGAATGGGTCATGCAAATACAAGATTAGCAGAGACCTCATTGGGTTGAGGCAAAATGGAGCTCCGGTGCATGAATACTATATACATATGCGAGATCTGTGGCAAGAGCTAGAATCAATGAGTGCTCTGCCAGCAATAACCACAACGGCTACAGACGTTCCTGCATTTCTTCGTGCAATGGAAAGACAACAGGAGGAGAGTCGACTCTTCTAGTTCTTGAATGGCCTTAATGAAGAGTATAGCCCCCGGAGAAGTCAGTTCCTGCTCATGATTCCGCTCCCGAGTGTTGAGACGGCTTGTTCAGCCATTCAACAAGAGGAATTGCAGAGGAAGGTCCTTAAACCTATCAAGCCTGAGGTAGAGACGACAACCATGTTCAGCAAAGCATCGGAGTTAATTTGTAACGTGTGTGGAGGAAAGGGTCATTATACCCATAAATTCTTTGAGGTTACAAGTTATCCGAAGTGGCATCCAAAATCCAGAAAACTAATGGCAACTCAGGGTCAACCAAATAAAAGTGGGCGAAAGGCAACCCCAAAACTGAGACCAAGGTGGCTGCAATGGGTCTGAAAGGCTCTGATGATTCCCCAGATACTGGGTCAGTAACTTTCAGAACTTCTCAATTTGATCAATGTTTGAAGAAATTCTCTGGTATGTCTTCTACTTCATCCTCTGTTTTGTCTGAAACTGATGACAAGTTAGAGCATATATTTGGTGGTATGGAAACTTGTTTTAATGCTTCTCTTGGTCCGAACATATGGATTGTTGATTCAGGTGCTTCTAACCACATGACAACCAATGTTGATGTTATGCAAAATTCTGTTGTAGTTGATGGTGTGCCTAGTATTAATCTACCTAATGGTGATGTGTCTAAAATATCTCGAATTGGGGGTATAACTTTTGCTAATGGTCTGTTATTGAAAAGTGTGCTCGGAGTGCCTGCGTTCACATACAATCTTTTGTAAGTGAATAAACTGAACAAGATAACGGATGCAATGTGACATTTCACTCGGGTTTCCGTGTAATTAAGAGTGATAGTGATCAAAAGGTCAAGGGTGTGGGTAAGGTTCACAATGGTTTGTATTATTTGATGGACATTCCAGTTGAATCTACGAACTTGAATGCTTTGTGTACTGCATTTAGTGCTTATAAAGCAGCCACTGGTAGAAATGTGTCCAGTGTGGAAGCTTTCACCTTGTGGCATAACAGGCTTGGGCATGCACCCACACCCAAACTTAACACTACAAGAAATAGGCTTATTTCCGACGGACTCTTTCCAATGGACACTAAATTCCGTCGGAAACCTTAGAAGTTCCGATGGAATTTTATTCCGTCGGAAATTTCCGACGGAATTAAAATCCGTTGGAATATAAGGGTTTCCAACGGAATATTCCGTCGGAAAATTACTTTTCCCGCGGAAAAAAAATCCGTCGAAAGTTTACGACGGAATATTCCCTCGAAAAGTTACATTTCCGGCGGAATTAAAATCCGCCGGAAGTTTCTGACGGAGTATTTCGTCGGAATAATTATATTTCCGACGGAATTAATACCCGTCGGAATATTCCGACGGAATATTCCGTCGGAATTAAAGTAATTATTTATATAAAAAAAACCCTAAGACTAACCGGTTTCCCCTCTTTCTCACCCTCTTTCTCCGCCTCTTTCCCCTCTCTTTCTCTCTCTTCTTCTCTTCTCCTTCCCCCAAGTTTTTCTTTGAATCTCTTCTCCTTCTCTCTCCTCTCTTCCTTTCCTCTTTCTCACCTCCTTCTTCTCTGACTTCTCACCCTCCTTCTCACACCAACGTCGAAGACATCTAGGTGTTTGCTTTCCCCTCCTTGCCGCAACCAACACCATCGTAGCACCACTATGCGCAACGTCTTGGTGGTTTTTTAGGCCAAATTCGACCATTAAAAGCCTAGATCTAGACTTTTAATGGCCGAATTTGGCCTTGTTAAACCGTTCTCGTGGTGAAATTCGAGCCCATTTCAATTAATAAGGTATGTTTTGTTATTTAATTTTCCGATTTCCGATTTTTTTTCTTTGTTTTTTTTTATTTTTTGGGTGTAAAGTGGTTGTGTGTGCGTGTGTGGTGTGTGGGTTGGTGGTGGGTGGCGATTTTTGGAGGTGGTGGGTTTTTTTGGTGGTTTCGTGGGTTTGATGGCGTGGGTTTGGGTGGTAGATCTGGGTGGTTTCGGGTTTTTTTTGGGTGGTTTCGGATTTTTTGGGGTAGTTTCGGGTTTGGGTGGTGGTTGTGGGATGGTGGTACGGTTTAGGGGCAGGTGGGTAAGGGGGGCAGTGTTGGTTGTGGGTGGGTAGGGGGCGGGGCAGTGTTGGTTGTGGGTGGGTAGGGGGGTAGTCAGTGGGGGTGGGGTGGGCTGGTAGTGGCGTGGGTGGGTAGGGGGTGGGGTAGGCTGGTGGTGGCGTGGGGGGGTAGGGGGGAAGTCAGGGGGGTGGGGGTGGACTGGTGGTGGTTTGGGTGGGGTAGGGGGTAGTTAGGGGGGGCAGGGGGTGGGGTGGTCTGGTGGTGGTGTGGGTGGTCTGGGCAGGGTGGGGTGGGGGGCTGGTTTTTTTTTTTTTAATGACCTTTCCGACGGAATTTTCCGTCAGAATATTCCTCTTCCGACGGAAAATTCCGTCAAAATATACCTCTTTCGACGGAAAATTCCATCGGAAACTAATCCACCTCCGACGGAAATTTTCGTCAGGAAATTGCGACGGACTTCAATTAAAGTCAAAAATAGCGCTGACAGAATTAGATCCGTCGGAAATTCCGTCGAAAACACCTCTTCCGACGGAATTTCCACCGGAAAAGGTCGAATTTCCGACAAGGGGTGCTACGACAGACCTATTCCGACGGAATTCCGTCGGAAGAGGTGATTCCGACGGATTTTGCTATGTTACCGACGGAAAAATTCCGTCGGAATCCAGCTGTTTTCTTGTAGTGTAAGCTGATTCCAGCTTAAGCTGATCATGTAGGGTCGTATGACTGCACTTGCATAACTTGTCCCATGGCTCGGTTGTTAAACTGTCATTCACGTTGAGTAAATCTATTGCTGGTTGTTCTTTTGAAATCATACACATTGATATTTGGGGACCCTATAAAGGAAATTTCAAGGGAAAGTTCAGATTCTTCTTAACAGTGGTTGATGATTACAGTAGATACACTTGGATCTACATTTTGTAAGGAAAATCTCAATCTCTGAATATTTTGGAGGAAAAATTCATGGGAATTATCCCACCTTTGGGCCATTCTTTTTTAATAATCCCACCTTTGAGAAATTATTTAATAATCCGACCTTTACCCTCCGTTCTTTTTTATTAGTCCCAACCGGTCATGCCTGTTATAACAAGTTACATGACACGTGGCGGCCTGTGATTGGTCAATTTTTTTTTTATTTATAAAAAGTTAGATTTTTTAAAAGAAAAAATAATTAAAATAAAAAAACCACCCATCCCCTTACCCAGCACCGAATCCGGACAGCTGCCTAAACCCGTTCTCTCCCGCGGCTCCGGCCACCCAGCCCTCTACCCAGCCCCCAACCACATCACCGGCACCGGCGTCGGTGCGCGACGATCTCCTCCCTGATCAAAGAAGATCAATTTCAACTAAGGTGGAGGTATGGGCGAAGGTGGCTGAGGTCGCAGTTCAGGTAGGGTGATGGGGTGGTGGTTTCGGTTCAGTTGGTGAAGACAATAGTAGTTTGGTAGGTGGTCTCGGGATGGGGTATGGGTGAAGGTGGCTGAGGTGGTGGACTGGTGGTGAACTGGAAACCCAACCTTAACCCTAAACGCCTTCTCCGTCCCGATCCCAGTTCCCTCCCCTTCCCCCGTACCAATTCCGGCAACTGGTGGTGGACTGGTCATGATGGGCTGGAATCGTTGGTAGTTTAGGGGAGGGGTTGGCTGGGTTTTCGAGGGAGGGTCTAGGGTGTTCAATATTGGTGGGCTGGTGGCTGAATTGGGTTTGGGTTTTTTTATTTTTTTTTTTTTATTTTTTGACCAATTATGTAATGACACGTGTATTTTAAACCAAAAAAAAAAATTACCTCTTCAACCGGTTTCTGGTCAAATGGGACCAATAAAAAAGAATGGAGGGTAAAGGTCGGATTATTAAATAATTTCTCAAAGGTGGGAATATTAAAAAAGAATGGCCCAAAGGTGGGATTATTCCCATGAATTTTTCCTATTTTGGAAACCTTTGTTGTAATACTCTGTATTTTATAATATTTTTATATGTATAAATTATTTATTTTAGTCATTTTATTTATAAATAAAAAATGAATCATTTTATTTTAAAGAATTAATTATATAAATATCAAATAAGTGTGTATAAAATAATATGAGTCATTAATTGAGGCAATAAAAGTGTTTTGAATTGGGTCAACATTATTTAAATTGTTGGATCAACTTGTTGGGAATTTAAGAACACTTAAGAGCCCAACAAGTTGGCCTCAAGGGAGAAGTTAAGGGGAAGTAGGATTAGTAAAGGCGGTTTTGGTAAATAAGTGTTTTTGTTTTAAAAATGGGAAAATAAATACCTTAAAACCCCAAGAATTTTACACTCTAAAAATCATATTGTCAGATTTCACAAAAACCCCAAAAAAATTTCCTCTTATTTTCTCTCTCCTTTTTCACCTCTTTCCCACGTCTCTCTCTCTTCTCTTCCCCTCACGTCCGGCAGCCACCGGCACCACCACCGACCATCAGCGGCCAGTAGTAGCATCGGCACACCACCAGTGTCTGTGCGCCACCCGTTCTCTCTTATCCCTTGCGGTTCGGTATTAAGAAAAAAAAAACTCTTTCTTTTGCCTAAATTAATTCTAGCTTGTTTTAATCAATTTAAAGCATGATTTTGATTATGTTTTGATTATGATTTTGGGTATTTGATGTTGTTAATTTATTTCTATAATTTTCAGGTTTTAATTTAATCAAAAACCCCAATTTACAAAACCTAAAACTTGGGAATTTAATGTATATGGTTAGGGTTTGATCCTAGGTTGTTATGGTTGTTAAATTAATGATTTAAACATGTTTCTATTGAGTTTTAAGCCCTCAATTTATGCTGGAATTTAATTATATGCACTACTTTTTAATTATTGTGTTAGGGTTTGATTACCCATTAAAGGGAAAAAGGTTTAATGATTTAAATATGATTTCCTAATCTATTAGTGATGTTTTATAGTAAATTAGTATGCTGGAATTTTATTTAAGTCATGAAAACTAAGTCTTTTTAAAAGGATTTAAAATACCCACTTAAAGAAAAGGTTTTATGGCTTTTAAACCCTTAAATTGGGTTAATTAGTAAGGTATAAATTGTAATATAGTTGCTGGAAATTTGTGAGAATAGTGGATTAATTATAGTTATGTATTTTTATTTGTAGGAAGCTTGGAGCTAGGTGATTTCTAGCGAGTGTGGCCGATTTTAGGCACTATTCAAGGTACGTATGCGCATGAGATTAATTGTGTATGCGTAGTATCATGCTCGGAATATAAAGTGTGTTCAAGTGATCAATTAGTAGCATGTTTGGTTGATTATATGCTTGGATTTGATGATGGTTGATCATGAATTATTAAGCAAGCATGTGAATATGTTATTTGAGGCATGATACAAGTTGAATGTGCATGAAACATGGAAGTATGTTTTATTTTCAAGTAACAAGAAAGTATGAATTTAATAAGCAAGGCTTATGTATGTTTAAAGGAGCTAAAGTTAGAATTATTGAGCATGATTCATGATTTTATTTCCCACCCATTTATTATTTGGTGTTGAGTCAAGAAATTATTTTAATTATTTACTCACTCATGTAAGTTGAGTTTGAGTCAAGGAAGTTTAGAGTGCATCTTATGCACCAAGGTAGTAATCGTGCAATTTTGTACACAAAACTAGGCAAGGAACCTTAATTAAAATAAATAGTATGTGCTCACTAATTAATTCAAGAATTAAATGGAAGTACATTTTGATTGTTATTATGTTTGTTCTTGATTGATTGGTTGGAGTCATCACAAGTTAAATCTGTAAATCACGTAAAGTGTAAGAGGATACGCACCAAAACTCTTGGAACGTATACACCTGGAGTATGACATATGAGAATTATGGATTTTTATATTTAACCATAGCTTCTACAAGGGTACAGGACATTGTACTATATTTTATTATTAATACGCTGGAATTCCGTCACAAGGTGACATAGTAGGTGCCAATTGGGGTAGCTCCTTAATTGGAAGCTCAATATTTAAATGGGATATTTTCAAGGAAGGAAACCCGTTTGATGCGTAATCCAAAATTATTATTTATTAATTAATATTGCTAGTATGAATCAAAGGTAAGTTGACTTGTGATTGTATGGCAAGCATGTTTTAATTATTTTATTGATGCTAGGATATTCATGTTACTGTGGTGCATATGTACTCAACTTTTGCTGATTCGTACTTTTGTGTTTGTGTTTGGCTTTTCTTTGGATTGGCCCTACTATGACCCATTTATATGGTGAGTAGAGGGGTTGAAATAAAGAGAAAATGACAGGTACTTGAAGCATGAATAGCATGAAGGAAATGAGTGCAGATAGTTACTTGTTATGCTTTCTTAGTTTTATATTTTGAATTATTGGTTTATCGATTATGGACTAATATTATTATGCTTTATTTAAGTCGGTTTTTAAAGGGTCATGTTTATATCGGTTCCAATTTGTGAACGTTTTAATTTACTTCTGTTTTGAGGTTGTGAACTCAAGTTTTATTTTGAAAGTTGGTTTTAATTTTTAGACTTCCGTTGTGTGACTTTGAAAAATAGCCTTAGCCGTTATTACGGTGGCGGTAATATTTTGAATATTTCCTAAAATGAGTTTTACTTAGGGTAGAAGAGTATTCTTAAAAGGAGGAAATTTCCAGGGTATTACAAAGTGGTATTAGAGCCAGGTTAGATTTTAATTACCACTAAAGTCAAAATCGTTTTTTATAGGTACCTATATTTTAAAGCTTGGCCAAGTGCTTATTTAATTGAGTTTGAAAATATTTTTTTAGAGGTCCGTATTTATTTTTTTTAAGAGGGCTGAATTTTTTTTTTTATATATTTTTTTTATTATTTGATTGGTCCGAATTTTTTAAAAAATTAATAAGGGCCGAATTTTTTTTTTAATAAAGGGGTCCGATTCTTTTTAATTATTTCGGGCGACTAATTGTCGAAAATAAATTTCAATTTAAAAAAAAATTATTAGGTGTGTAGGTATTCGAAGGAATTAAGATATGTAACTATGTGTTAATCGCTTTTGAAAGCATGTGGTGAGATTGGGTAGGAAAGACAGGGCATATAGGCTAGAATTGTATGTCTTCCCATGTGCATAATTTTTTTATGCAAGGTGTTCAAGCATGTTGGATGATGATATGTATTTAAGTGAAAGCGTGTTTATGTGGATTAATATAAATTGTATGATTGAACACCAAACTTAAATTTTTGCAAGAAACTGTATATTTGAGTTGAAAAAGAATTTTCTTTATCGAGTCATGACCCAAAATGCCTTGCAGGATGTTTGATTTACCTAGTAGATTCAGTGGCATGGGCACTTTAGCAAAGAAAGACTATGAGCATGTGTGGGATTATATTCGCATGATTCGTTTTTACTATTCTTATAGATCTGATGTGTTTGGAGAGCGCCATCTTGACCAACCTGACTATGTCTCTGCCACGATTGTTCATTATTTGCCTAACTATCCTCCCTATGAGGCTATTAAGAGTCGCTTTCGTGATTTTCATTTGCCTAATGGTGTTGCTAACTATACAAAGTATAAGGACTTTAATGGTCAATGGGGAGAACATTAGAGATACTTATACCGTTACATTACTCACAAAGAATTTATTTATCTTAACCCTCAATATGCTACTTATCCTCCACCTTACCATAAATTTGGTGATCCGGCTCCACAACAAAATGCACCTTACTATTCTTCAGAAAACTATGATTCCATGTCTGAGTCAAAACCTGAGCAAACTTATGAGAGTCAAGGTGAGTCAATGGAGCACGATAATGAGTCTAGAGACACCTCATGCAGAGTCATTCATGGAGTCTTACTCGAAGATGTCTACATGAAAATTCCCAAAGGTTATGTGGGACCAGGCATGCCAATTAGTCCAGACCAGGGGAGTTTCTAGAAAATCGAGTACTTAACTTAAAACGTCCTTGTATGGACTCAAACAATCACCACGCCAATGGTTTGCTAAGATGACGGAGGCTCTGAAATCCTTTGCCTACATTCAATCCAAAGCTGATTATTCCCTCTTTACTAGACACTCAGGAAGCTGCTTTGTTGTTGTACTCATATATGTTGATGATCTGCTAATTGCGGGAAACAATCAGCAAGAGATAGACAATCTGAAATCTCTTCTCTCTCAGAAATTCAAAATGAAGGATTTGGAGAAACTCAGGTACTTCCTTGGTTTGGAGATCGACCAATCAAACTCGGGGATTTTCATATCTCAAAGAAAATATGCTCTTGACGTGATCAGTGAGTTTGGGCTAACAAAAGCAAGGCCTCTCAAAGTTCCCATGGACACGCACATCAAACTCACTGATCCTTTACCTAGTGCTGAAATCTATCAAAGGTTGGTTGGAAAGGTCTTGTATCTAACGATCACAAGGCCTGATATTATAGCTTTGCTGTCCAAGTCCTAGCTCAGTTCATGCAAGCTCCCACCACTGCTCACTTGCAAGCAGCCAAGAGAACATTGAGATATCTCTTGAACTTACCTGGCAAGGGAATATTGTTGGCCAGTCAGTCTGCAGTCATACTCACTGCATTCTGTGATAGTGACTTGACAGGTTGTCCAGTCACAAGAAAATCCACCACGGGCTATTGCATTCTCTTAGGGGATTCTCTAGTGTCATGGAAAGCAAAGAAGCAAAAGGTGGTGTCAAGATCCTCAGCTGAGGTAGAGTACAGAGCAATGGCACACACCATATGTGAAGTAACATGGCTGACTTTTCTGCTCAAGGATCTGGACATTAAAAATCTTAGTCCTACAACTTTGAAATATGATAACAAAGCTGCTATCTTGATTGCTACCAACCCAGTGATGCATGAGAAAACCAAGCATGTTGAAATTGACCAACACTTCGTGAGAGAAAAGGTCCAAAATGGTGCTATCAAACCTGCTTATATTCCAAGCTCAGAGCAGCTAGCTGATATTCTGACTAAGATCCTGCCAGTACAACAACACCAATACCTTCTAGACAAGCTTGGAGTTACTTCACATCCACACCAAGCTTGAGGGGGAGTGATGAAAGGAGGCTGCGTGCCTATTTCCTATTTTTTTTTCCTGTTATGATAGTGTGTACCAGTCTGTCATTATAATGATTGACTGTCCTTTTTAATTGTTCTTTTGTCCTTAGTATTTTCCCGTTGGTTTAGTCTTGTATATATAATGAAGAATGTAAAGTGCAGAACTTTGAATCAATGAGAATCAGTGCTTCCCTTTCTCTCTAAAATTATCCCTCTATGACTTTTGTCACCAGGGTCTAAACATATAACAAGTGCTTAACTTTTGGTGGATACATGTTGCCTTGGCCATTGGTGTTGCTCAGTAGCTGTTACTCCCCTTATTCTATTCTGCATGTCTACAAACTATAATAATAATAATAATAATAATAATAATAATAATTTTAAAATATGTAATTTGAAAATTCAACATTTACAATGGCGGAAGTATATTCACATACTCGGTTTGATCATAGAAGGATGGAAGCGTTAAAAGTTTTTTATATTCTTATCCTAAACTCTAATGGTTATGAGGTGTCAATTTGGGTTACTAGGTCAAGTTCAATCAGGCCTAGTTTGGGTTTGAATCGAAAGTTAGGTCGGGTTGGATCTCTTTTGAGTTAGATCTAATCGGGTCTATTTTTGACACCTCTAATCCATTATGGGTTAAAGTTTGGTGAGGGTAAAAATGGTCATCTAGCTTGACAATGTGGGATGAGACGAGTGAGATTAATCCTATACTAGAAGTTACAAATTAACCCATCAAACAACAAGCGAGGCCGCCTCACGGGTTGATCAATAATACAAAGTATTGAAAACATGGACTACAAATTAGCAGGAGAAACTTGACAAGGCGCTCGGCCTCCAATGACGCTAAATTGCTAGTGGCTTGGAGTCCAACCCATTCATGTCCATACAAATTTTCACCTACACCCCTGGGTAGGGAACACTGCCTACACCCCCCATCATTCGCGTGCCCCCCCCCCCCCCTCATTTATGAATTTTTTGTAAATTTTTATAACATGTTCATTTCTGTATTGGTAAATGTTCATTTTTATATTATTAGATGGTCATTTTTATAACGAGTTTTTTGTTCAAATTAATATATTTTCTAAATTTTATTTTTGGAATTTTCTATAAATAAAAATAAGAGCAAATTTATTTATAAGGAGTACAACGTTCAAATCATTTTTATTATAAGAAGTATTGCATCATCAAATGTTCATTTTTGTTTATTCATGTTTCAATAGATGTTCATTTTTGTATCATCGAATTTCCATAACTAATATAGTAAGATGTATACAAATATATACATCTTATAAATAAAACGTTGTAAAAAACTAATTTCCAATATAAAATAATTTAATTTAATTACAATAATAACACATTTTTATACTATTACATGTCTATAATTGTTTCATAAACATGAAAGTGAATCATTAAATCTTAAATGTACATATGTGTCTTGTTAAATGAACATTTTTTGTCATATTTGGTATACTAAAGTGTATAGATTTATCCTCCTTGTTGCACTTCTAATCATATGATATTTGTGTGTTTTCTATGAAAAATTTAATCTGAGCACAATATATATGTCGCCTTTGACTTCCTTACTTGATTATCCTATACAATAACAGATCATGTTTTTTTAAAACAACTTAATAACAACCATAACACATTCCAAACAAAAGTACATGAAATCTAAGGATTCAAAATTGAACATTTACGCATGAATAACAATTACGAATATAGAAATGAACACACTATAATGTAATCAAAACATTTCAAATGAGAATGAAAAAAAGGTATAAAATCTGAATGACGTGTATTAAATTCTAAATGAACATTTATTAATATGAAAGAGAACATAAATCAAAATTTTAATGAATATATCTATTAATGTATAAATGACCATTAATTAATAATTCAATATGTCAAAATACAACTTAATATGTATTGATATTATATGTGGATGAAATACCATAAGATTATATTATATTTTAAAATAGAATCATCAAAGGCCTATGATGAATGAACAATATGTGATTTATTTTTGAACATTTTTTTAATATGTGAATAAGCATACATTAATATATGTATGAATATACACATATCCAAATGAACATTTATGTATCAATATTCGAATAAACATCTATCCATATTAGAGTTAAAATTTATGCACTATAATATTCAAATGACGCTCATGAGCATATATTAATTCAATATGAAGTTGACATGTATTATTACAATCTATGTGGATATCTTCAATATAAGAATGAACATATATGTATTATTCAAATTCAAATGAACATTTGTTTAAATCCCATTAAACATTCGTTAATATGTGAATGATCATAAACAAAACTAGGGTAGTATTCTCTGAAGACAGAACCCTAGTAGATCAAAGGTAAGAATGTGAATGTGACAGGCTAAAGTCGTATTACCTAATCAAAAGTAATTCCTAAAACTACTAACTAAAATAGATAGGGAAGTAGGGTCGAATCCACAGGGAAACAAGTATTTTTATTCCTAATCAATTAATATAATCTAAATTATCAAGTAACCAAATTGTTCTTTAATGAGAATTAATCTAATGGAAAATAATTAAACTAAAGGAGAAAATCAATAATAAAAGGCCTAGGGTATGGTTCACCAATAAATAATATTCCAGGGTAAAACACAACAATCAATTATCAATGCATCAATTAATCAGATCATAAAGGGCTTTCGCTACGTATTACAATCACAGAACTAATCTACCGGTATTAAATCGCATCTCTCGAATCTTTACTTAACCATTTATAAATTAATCTGCCTATTGAAACTAAGCCTAAACATCAATTCTCATCTCTCGAATCTCGAATCAATATTGCATAACTCATACAATTAAACCAGGCTTAATCTAATTGCATAGTAGTAAATCAATCAATAGGAAATTAATCTAAAACAATAACAATCAACAATAATAATTACCCCTTCATATTATTTATGGATCCCCACAACCCTAGAAATAACTACTCACATATATTTAAATCTAAACTAATCAAAGCATATAAAGAAAGCATGATTAAAACAATAATTATAAACTAATATGAAAATAATTAAACCAAAGAGAAAACAAAGAAATAATATTAAAACTAAGTAATAATAATAAAACTTGATAAGAAAAAGAAAACAAAACAAAACAAAAGCTAAAACTAAAACTAATCTCCAACTACTACGTAAAGAGGTCCCCTCCTTAATACTATTACTATTCCCTTTTATAAGAAAAGAAGAGTTTTGCTGCCAACTCCTAATCCCACTAAAAGTACTACTCCCCTAAACCTAAACAATGAAAACCGACCCAAATAAAGCCCAAATCAGCAACAACATCACATAGCAACAGCCTGGAACTGGGCCACCTGTTTGGGCCCGTCAGCTTCACGCCCAACAATCTCTTGTAAGCTTGGATTTGTATCTTAGGCTTTTCTTGGCCCGTTAATTCATATTATAATTTGTTGCTTTGGACCTATCTCTTCTCTAATCGAGCCCTTAATCACCGAACTCAATTTCTCTAATTCGGCCTTAGGCTTAAATATTTGGTCATATACGATCCGACTCAAATGTCTTCGTAGTGGTTAATAAGCTCGGGAATTATCATAAATCTTCAAATTCCTACAAAATAATACAAACTCTACAAAAACACTAGAAAACGTATATTAGTAATAAAAATAGCTCCGTAGAGCTCAAATAAGCACAATATGACCATGGGACGGGGAATATTAAATATATAAAATAGACTCATCAGAATGATCATATACTAATATCATAATGAATATTTATCAAAATGAAAATGAACATTTACCAAAGATTGAGCTAGAACATATTGAAAAATATGAAAAAGAAATTTCCATTATTAGTCATAATAATCATAAGAACTAGAACAAATTGTACACAATTTTCAAAATTTTAGGCCAACAATTTAATAATATAAAATCACGCACTGACACAAAATTAGGGAATATCAAACAATAACATAATTCAACTATAATTATAATAATCACTTATTTCCACAAAAAAGTACAGGAAGTCACCAACCCTCACTCAAAATCTTTAATTTTAGAGATGAAGATGACAATAATATGAACATTTATCAGAAATATAATGCTCATCTATTAATTTGTTAATGATCATTTACTAATACACTAATGAACATCTATCAAAACGAAAGTGAACATTTTTCAACAATTATTTTCCACACTATACTAATTTACATTTCAATAATATGACGAAATAGATCAAACTATCCAGAAAAATGGGACAACAACACTCTGTTTAGAATTATTTATGTCCAACGATTATATAATATAATAACACACTATAAACTAATTTTACACAAGAGTACATCAAACATTAATATAATTCAACCAATATATTAAGATTTTTTTCTATGATTTGACAATCAATTTGGGGAAAAAAATTAGAGTAATTAAATCATCATTTGACAATTATATCAAATCGTTGAAATGAAAAAAGGAAAGAGAAATTAGTACCTCATTAATGATTTGCGTCAACAATGAAGCTTCCATGAGATGACATGAGTAGATGATGATTAAACTTCTACGATGGAAAGTATGAAGGTTTTAAGAGAGAGAAAATTGAGGATGAAGGTTTTTGGAGATAGAAAATGGATATGATAAAAAAAAATAGAGAGAGAAAATGAAGCTTTTTGGAGAGGGAAACCATAAAATGAAGCTTTTTAGAAGATAAAAATGGTGTTTACCCTCACGATTTTTAAAGTCGACGGATTTTCCTATATATAATCTTTTTTTTTTTTTTGAGAGAGAGACTTTATTTGGCTGGAAGGTAAATTGGTGGGGGAGGGGGTGTAGGTATATTTACCTACACTAGGGGGTAGGCATTAGTAACTATCATGTCCACTCATGAATTCTATACTAAAAGTAATGCTATAAACTGGATTGTTTAGGGTGAGCCTAAACACTGTAACCTCAACCAAGAAAGGAGATAAGAGCA